CCCAAAGCCCAAGGATACCTAAGGAAAGAGTTACTGGTAGAACACTGAAATATATTTCCTTTCCCAGACCGAGTGGTGGTGGTTTAAGTCAGAAGACTGTGAATGTAAAGATGTTGCTCTGTGCTCCAGTGAGAGCCAAGGATGAAGGGAAGATTTGTTCTATAGTGTGTGTAGGGGCAGGTGATGAAGCACATCCAGGGTTAGTGGGTGGCAAGTAGGGTTTGGGAAGGTTTGGGAAGGGCACTGACCTCAGGCCGAGTGTGCCAACTGTGCCTCAAAGGGATGCCATGACTTTGGCTTTACTTACGTCAGTGTAACAAGGTTTTCTCTTGCTGCTGCTGTTGCTGCCCAAGTCCCTGGTTGTGTTGTGAGCCGTCCTGGTAAAACATAGCTGTGTGCCACTTCCCCTTCCCCTCTTCCTACCCCGACCCTGCTCACCTCACTTTGAGCATAAAGCCCAGAGAAAACTGTGCCTGCATGTTCTCCACCTGCTGCTACTTGAATAAGGCCCAAGCCCAGGTTGACATGGCTGCAGGCCAGGCCTTAGCAGGACGCAGGACACCATTCCCCATGCTGTTAGGGTACCCCTGCAAAGCTTGGGAAACTGTCTCATTCCTTTCTCCCAGCCTCACTTCTCCTAGCTCTGTCCCCTGGCACCTCCTCCCCGCAACATGTTTTCTCTCTTTGTGTTTCATGGGGAAATATATGGAGGCAATAAATAGGTCAGGTGTGCAGTCCATGTGGAACTATTGGGGGGAGATGAAGGATCTATTTACGAATCGATCGCTCATCCTTAGTATTGGCATAAAATGCTTCTGAGGGCGTGAGTGTGTGTGCGGGAGACGGAGGCGGCTGGGAGCCCTGTGGGAGCTGCCATTTCTCTCACGCCCCCCAATCCGCTTCCCACTCCGGGAGGTGGAGAAGCTGCTGTGTGTGGATCACCTGCTCCCAACCTCTTTTGCCTCAGTCTCTTCTGTATTTCCTCCTCCTGCTCATTTGTCTTCTTTGCCCTTGCCTAATTCATTCTCATTTATCTCTTCCTCCTCATCTTTTTCCCCAGCATCAATTCCAGTGCTTTTCCCTGGCTGTGAGAAGGGAGTGTTTAACTCTGTGTGTGTGTGTGTGTGTGTGTGTCCATCCATGTACACATGAACACTCTTCATGCAGGGAAGGGAAACCTGTTGCTTTGGGGATAGGCTTTGTTTTCTCTTACGGTATGTTTCCCAATAATGCACCCCACTCCCATTTTTGACTCTCCTTTTCCCCACGGGCAAGGCTGCGGATTAAGAAAGGTATGGGGGATTATAGGAATCTCCAGGGAACATTGTATGTTCTTGGGACCCATCTCCCCGGGCCTTTCCAACCTGTTCACTCTTTTTTTTTTTTTTAATATTTTATTTATTTATTTGATAGCACAAGTAGGCAGAGTGGTAGACAGAGGGAGAGGGAGAAGCAGGCTCCCCGCTGAGCAGGGAGCCCGATGTGGGGCTCAATCCCAGGACCCTGGGATCATGACCTGAGCCGAAGGCAGACGCTTAACGACTGAGCCACCCAGGCGCCCCAACCTGTTCACTCCTGATGTGGAAGCTTCTCCTTGTTCATCCTCACCCAGCCTGCTCAGCCACCCTCAACACAGCCAGGCACCTGTCTAGAACTAATGCTGTGTGGTGAACTCACTCCCTGCCTTTCAGTGTGTTGGTGCCCCAGGGAGCCAGGCTGCTGGGGAAAGCTCATGTGGCACTCAGCCGTTCCATTTTGTCGACGAAAAAAGAGAGGAGAAGCTGGCAGAAAGCAAAGGCTTTTGCTGCTGGGTGAGTGTAGCAGCTATTTTTAGTGTCAAAGCCTTTGCTTTTCCATTTGGCTATGCTTTTTTAGCACAGTGCCGGTCCAGCAGGGCTGTTTTCCTTTATGGCTCCAGATGTCCTTAGGGAAAGTTTCCGTCTGCCTCTGAGAAGGTGTGGGCTGGGCAAGGGGGTAATAACTTCTGAGAATGGGTTCAGACAGGGCTTTAGGTCCACTGCAGTCCTGTTACAGGACCAATTTCCTGTGGTGGAATGCGGAGTATGACAGGAAGAGCAAAGAGAAAAGGTAAATACCATACTCTTCAGAGATGTTCCCCTATAATGAACACAGTTAAGCCTCTTTTGAGTAAACTGCCTAGTAAGGTATATTAGGGCCGAGTGACCAACACACAAGCCTTTTATAGGGGTCTGGACTAATGCTGACATGTCCTGACTTTTCCTAAGGCTTCTTAAAAATGTTTAGCTTGTTTCATTTTGTTTTTATTTTTGCCCTTCTTTCTAGATCATTTGCCAATTTTTTTTTAAAGTACACGTGTTTCTCGCTCTCTTTTTTTTAACGTTTTTATTCAAATTCCAGTTAGTGAACATAGAGTGTAATATTAGTTTCAGGTATATAGTATATATAGTGATTCAGCAATTTGGATTAAGTTCTCTTGACTGCCACTCTAGTGTACTGACCAAAATTGTTTCACTAAGAAACCCATTAAGCAGTAACTCCCCTGGTAACCTGTAATCTACTTTCTGTCTCTCTGAATTTGCCTGCTGAAGAGAATTCATTTAAGTAGATTCATAGCAATATCTTTTCTTTTGTGTCTAGCTTATTTCACTTGGCATATAACGTTTTCAAGGTTGATTCATGTTGAAGCATGTATTAGAATTTCATTCTTTTTATGACTAAATAATATTCCATTGTATGTATATACAACATTTAAAAAACTCCATTTGTTGATGGATATTGGGGTTGTTCCCACCTTTTGGCTATTGTGAATAATGCTGCTATGAACATTCACATGGAACTATCTGTTTGAGTCACTGTTTTCAGATCTGTTGTGTGGAATAAATACCTAGGGGTGGAATTACTGGACCATAAGGTAATTCTGTGTTTTGCTTTTTGAGGGACTGATAAACTTTGTCCCACTGTGTTTTACATTCCCACCAGCAATGTATAAGGGTTCCATTTTGTCTGCATCCTTGTTAATATAGGTTATTTTCCTTTTTAAAAAAAATTACAGCCATCATAGTGGATGTGAAGTAGTAAATCAGTGTGGCTTTGATTTGCATTTCCTTAATGATTAATGATGTTGAGAATATTTTCATGTCCCTATTGGCATTTGTTTATCTTCTTTAGAGAAATGTCTGTTCAAGTCCTTTGCCTGTTTTTAATTTGGGTTGCTTGTTTTTTTGTTGTTGAGTTGTAGGAGTTGTTGATATATTCTGGTTATTAAACCCTATCAGATAGGTGATTTGCAAGTATTTTCTTCCATTTTGTTCGTTGTCTTTTCACTCTCTTGATAGTGTCTTTTGAGGCACAAAAGTTCTAAAATATCTATGGAGCTCAATTTACCTATTTTTTTAAATTACCTGTGGTTTTGGTGTCCTTTTTAGGAAATTACTGCCAAATCTAAGGTTATGAAGATTTTCTATATGTTGTTTTTTTTTTTTTTCTAAAAGTTTAGCTCTTAAATTTAGGTCTTTGATTTATTTTTTTTTCTTTAAAGATTTTATTTATTTATTTGACAGAGAGACAGCGAGAGAGGGAACACAAGCAGGGGGAGTGGGAGAGGGAGAAGCAGGCTTCCTGCCGAGCAGGGAGCCCGATGCGGAGCCCGATGCAGAGCTCGATCCCAGGACCCTGGGACCATGACCTGAGCCAAAGGCAGACGCTTAACGACTGGGCCACCCAGGCGCCCCAGTCTTTGATCTATTCTGAATTAAGTTTTGTATGTGGTGTAAGGGAAGAGTCCATCTCATCTTTTGCATGTGGCTGTTTACTTGTCTCAGAGCAGTTTGTTGAAGAGACTGTTTTTTCCCCATGGAGTGGTATTGGTACCTTTGTTGAAAATAAGTTGATCATACATGATTATTTCTGGGTCCTCAGTTCTATTCCATTGGTCCTTATGTCTGTCCTTAAGGCTGTACCACACTGTTGTGATAACTGTAGCTTTGTAGTAAGTTTTGAAATCAGGAAATACAAGTCTTCTAACTTTGTTCTTTTTTTCCAAGATCTTTTTAGCTGTTCTGAGTCCCTTGAAATTCCATATGTACTTTAGGATGGGTTTCTCCACTTCTGTAACAGCACTGGTATTTTGATAGAGATTGCATTGAATCTGCGTATTGCCTTGGGTAGTATTGTCATCTTAACAATATTAAGTCACTAATCCATGAACATGGGATATCCTTTTATCCTTTTTTAATTTTCACAGGTACTAGGGCCTGTGCTTCAGACCCTCCCCTGGCCTCCCAAAATTGTTTGGCCATTTGAAAAGCGATGTGTAAGGCTTTGTGGCTTGGGAATATTGAACTTTGCTCGTTGTTGGGATACTGATAGCAGCTTTCTTCAGGTATAACAGTGAGCATGGTTTAGAAGTGAATGATTATGAAGGCTTATGAGGATTTGGGCTCAGGTGTGTTCACACACAAATAAATTGGTTAGTTTCTTTCTCTCACTGTCATAGCCAATACCACCCTGTACAACCTGGCAAGTTGATAATGAGGAAGTAAGGAACCACAGCTGTTGTATCTCATGTAAGAGTCCTCCTTGGCTCTATGCTACCAACCAAGGCGTATCTGCCCATGAGTGGCTGAACTCCTTATGGGAGATGGAGGCTTCCTTTAGATCTTTTTTTTTTTTTTTAAAGATTTTATTTATTTGACAGAGAGAGACACAGTGAGAGAGGGAACACAAGCAGGGGGAGTGGGAGAGGGAGAAATAGGCTTTCCGCGGAGCAGAGAGCCCAATGCGGGGGTCGATCCCAGGACCCTGGGACATGACCTGAGCCAAAGGCAGATGCTTAATGACTGAGCCACCCAGGCGCCTCGGCTTCCTTTAGCTCTTATCCTGTGGTAGAAGACCTTTGGTACCTCTATGCGGAAAATGTCTGTTATCCATTGAACAAGTGACATCTTAGGAATCACAGTGCTGGGGGATCAGGCACCAGCTTCCTGTTGACCTTCTGTTTTCTTTTTTATTTTCCTCAGGTCTATATCTATGGCTCTCCAGGACCTGCCCCCTTCTAGGATGGCTCTTCTGGGAATGCTGCTCGGGCTGCTGATGGCTTCCTGCTTCACCTTCTGCCTCAGTCATCAGAACCCGGTAAATATTTAGCGCAAATAAAAGAATCCCTGTAAGGTCCAAGAAAACCTCCATGCCATCAAGGCTTCTGTGGGAGTAGGGTGAGCTTTTATTTTTCTTACAGGAATGTGGGCAGCACTGGATCAGGGTGTATGGGTACTTCTCCACCCCCCCACCCCCCCGCCACCAACCCCACACCTTACTCCTCTGGCCTCTGTTTAAAGCTCATAGTATAGTTTCCCTTTGGAGAAAATATGATGATGATGATGATGATGATACAATAATATCAATAATGATGAATTTACCATGTACCAAGTGGTTTATTAAGTGCTTTATGTGTATTCTCATTTAATCCCCTCAACAACCCTACAAAGTAGACAACTACAGTTAATTATCCTCATTTTGAGAAGGATCTCGAGGCTCAGAGACATTAAGTAACTTGGCCAGGATCATTCAGCTAGTTTGTGGCAGAATTGGGAAGGTCAGGATTCTCCCCAAGAGCTGGTTGCCTGTGTCGTGAGCACCAAGTAAGACTCTGCTTCTTCCTCTACTCCTGTCTTCCTTGTGCTTTCTCCGTCTGTCTCTGTCTCTCTGTTCTCTTTCCTTCTGTCCTTTTCTTCCTGTTCATTCCAGGCCTCTCTTCATTAACCTAGACCTAACTGCTCAGGGTTTCTGTCACTGCCACAGGCAGGAGTAGAATGACCGAGAAGGCTCTGAGCTTGGCCTGGCTGCAGCACGCCAAGGCTCCTGGCCCTGTTTCCCTGGCTGGCCCTAGCTACAGCCTGCCCTTGACCAGCTCCCAATGCCCCCTTGACAGTCAAGAGAAGCCTTGACTGTCAGCTTTCTGACAGTTTCACTCTCCCCTGGCCACCTTCCCCAACCCCAGGGGCTCCTACTAAATGCAGGGTAAGTGCTGCAGGCTTTGGAGCAGGAGGGCCTTGAAGTGCAAATGACAATTGTGATGAATTTAATAACAATGCAGCTCAGCTGAGGTTCACCTCTGGCTCATGGCAAGCTTCCACCGTCTCTCTAAAGTCATTTGTTTTCTCTCTGCCTTTCTCCCCACTTTGTGGAGCAGAAGAGAAAGTGCAGTTAGGAGTCACGAATTCTTTTGAGCTTTTAGTGTTCTCTAAGATCTTACTGGTGCTGGGGTTTTTTTGTGGTTGTTTTTTGGGCCTTTTCCTCAAGGATAATGAGGATGAGATCCCATTGGCCCCTGAGGGTGGGACTGGTCACAGCATGAGTTAGGGTCTGTCCTTGGCATAGCCTTGGCCAGAAAAGCACACAAGTGTCTCAAGGGATCAGGGCTACGTCCTGTCCCCCTGACCCAACCTGCAGCTCACAGGGATCTGGTGCTCCCCATCATGAGCTTTAGCAGATGCACAATTAACAAAAACGTGCTGATGAATTTGCTTAAGGACTGTGTGTTACTAAGTCCCTTTTGGATAATAGTCCAACCAAATAGATGAGTTTTCAGAGCCATAATTATTCTGGCCCACTTATATTAGCTCTATTGAGTCTAGTCTCAGAAAAATGTTAATACTGACTTTCATCAACAGAAGCTACTTTTATCCTTATGTCTGTTCCTAAGCTGTATCCATTTGTCATAATCTTTCATCATGTGCTAAGCACAAGTAGGAGTTGAAGCATCTTTTCTCTCATACCATAAAAATTGCTGCCCTGTTGGCATTTAAAATCCAAATTATGCAGCCAGCCACCTTCAAAACAGTGAAAATGGGTGGTGGGGGAGATGGGGGTGGTTATGATCCTTTCTTCAGAGCCTGGAGTCCAGGCAAGAGATCCTGGTGACCTGGAATTGTCCTCCCAAGGGCTTTTGTGCAGGTTAATGGCCATCCAGGAAAGGTTGTGTGTATCAGGGTATGATGTGGAGCCAGCCACCTTTCCTGGATTCTGTTGTCCTACATCTCTGGGGTGCCACAGCTTAGGAGCAGTGTGGATGCTGAAGGGGTGTGGTTGTGTTGTATCCTGGACTTCAGGAAGGTAGTGAGCGATGTGGAAGGTAGTGGGACCGGTGGAAGGAGCTCAGACCCTTGGTAAGTTCCCTTTTGCCACCTACATTGGCAATTTGGCCATTTCTGAGTTTTGTTTCCTCATCCAGAAAATAGGGTTGATCCTTTCTGTTAAGATTTCAGTGTAGATGAAATGTGATTACATATATAGAGCACCTAGCGTTGGGACTGGCAGAGTATGGTCAATAAATGTCAGTGGTTATTTTTAGTAAGGGGGTGGCTGCTTTTATGGTTTAATGTAGGGCTCTGTCAGGTAGGGGTCCTGCCCCAGAATGTTGCCCTGGCAGTTTGTTTCTGTCACAGCATCAGTCAACTTACCATTGGAGATTATTCATTCTCCTGGATCTTGAAGGCTTTGGTCTTTAAGAATCTCTTATTCAGATACAAGTGCAAGGAAGTGAGACATGGTAAGCTGTTGTCAGCTAACACCTTAGCTGGAATATCTTGCCAGTCAGTTGAGAAGAAATTGGTATTTGGAGTGATGGTGGCAGGGAAAAGAGAGTGCTGAGGTTTCAGCATGGAATGGAGCCCCGAGAAGCCAGCTGAGAGGGCACAAGATGTGGGGTTTACTTGAGAGTTGACCAAGGTATGGCTGGCTTCTGCCACCTCTTGGTCTTTATCTCCTGTTAAGGACACAGGACACACTGCCCGAGCTCAGAGAGGCTAGTCTTGCTTGTCCTTTCTCTGGGACTGTGGTTTTTTTACTTGGTCCATGAAAGTCTTCCCTTTCCCCTGGGAGTGGGGGATGTGCTAGAAGACATGCTAGGGTGATCTCCCTGTCCCCCCTACCCCTTCATTCCCTCAGCATGCAGGGCATAGCCATTAGGACACATGACTAAAAACAGAAACACAGAAGGGAGTCCAAATTCCTGCATGGGCTTTGGAGCCAGGCAGGCCTGACTTAAATCTCTACTCTGCTTTTCTTAGCAGTGTGATTTTTTGCACAGGCCCTGTACCTCTCCTCATCTGTAAAATGGGAATGAAAGTGTGTGCTTCACAGATGAAACTTGGCTGAGTTGTGAGGCGTGGAAGGCACTTTATAGCCTGGAGCTACGGTTGGTAGCTGCTGTTACCATTACAGCCTCGTCCCCGTGACCTGCTTTTTCTCAGAACCTTTTCTGGAATGTCCCTTTTGAATCGACTGCCGCCCTCAGTGCTTGTCAGATGTGATTTGGGCAATAGTCCAAAGTCACTCAGAGTTAGATTTGGTGAATAGGGTGAGCTGATCAGAGGAGCACCAATTTTCTATTACCCGCACTAAAGACTGATTTGTACTGTAAAATAATGGCAGATCATGTGCGTGCACGCACGTGTGTGTGTGTGTGTATGTGTGTAGCTTAAAATCTGCTTCAGAGGTGACAGCAAGCGGAAGCTCAAAAAGCATTTGGAGCAGTGGCGGGATTATTAGCTCCTCTAGGGCTTGAGGCATGTGGCTCAGGGGTTCATCAGTCTCCTTTTTGAATTTACTCTATTGACCTTAAAAGAAATCTAGGAAAAGAGGCTTTCTCAGCTTCTAGTCAAGAGAATGAACACGGGCTCAGCTTAGAGTTTGAAGGGCTTTCTGCCATGTTTTCATCATCACCATTCCTGTTGCCTCTTTCTGCTTCTCTTGATGATGAGAATTTGGTGGCTTGTTTACAGCCACACCTGCCAGGACCTACCTGGCTAATAGACTAAAACAAGAGCTGCAGTTTAAGGCTTAGAGATGTTTAGTTTGGCCCTCATAGTGTTCTAAAATAAGAAAAGTTGACGTAAAAATCTGTTTCTCTGTTTTCTTTTTTTCATGGCAGTGGTGAACCAGCTGAGTAGCAGCTGTGTTCCTTAGTCAAGGCAGGAGGGCTCCAGTTTTCACAGCACAAGCACTCCCCATTGTTGGACACCCGGCCGTCCTTGGCCCCTTGAGGCCTTTAACCCACACACTTTGGAGGTAAATTTTATTAACATTCCCCTAGTCCCATGGTCCAGTGTATGGTGCTCATGGCAGAGGCTGACCAGCATGGATAGGCCCTGGGTTACATAGGTTTTGGTTATTTTGTGGACAAGGTAGTCTTTGTTCTGGAATGTGGGACTACTCCCTGGGTTCTAGCGGGCATGCTGTTTTGGGCTTGCCTCAGTGCAAGGCATCCAGAACACATACCTGGCTGTGGAGAGGCTTGTTCCTTCATTCCTTTGTTCTTGGATGACGGTAAACTAAGTCCTGTGCTGGGCATGGGAGCACGCTGATGAAAGAGACTGACACAGAGCCTGCTCTTAGGAAATAACAGCTTTTGGCCAATGTCTCCTGCCATTCTGTCCCACAAGCATGGCTGCTGTTCTGCTCCTAGTTTTCTTTTGAGCTCAGATCTGTGCACACTCCATGTTGAAGGGGTACAAGAGGTTTGATGGGGGGCGCCTGGGTGGCTCAGTTGGTTAAGCGACTGCCTTCAGCTCAGGTCATAATCCTGGAGTCCCGGGATCGAGTCCTGCATTGGGCTCCCTGCTCAGCAGGGAGTCTGCTTCTCCCTCTCCCGCTCCCCCCTCTTGTGATCTTTCTCTCTTTCACTCTCTCTCTCAAATAAATAAATAAAATCTTTAAAAAAAAAAAAAAAAAGAGGTTTGATGGGCCCCAGGCGGCTCAGGTGACCACAACCCATACCTGACCTGCCTGAGTCCTGTCATAGTGTAGAGTCACTGTTGGATGTCCTAGCACAGACTCATCTAACCTGGAACCTATGGTTGTCTTTACAAGTAATAAGATTAATGGCTACCACATACCCAGGGCTAGTGTTTTGCAAGGTGGTGCCTCATCTCATGTATGAGCTAGATGTCGCTGTTACTTCCACTTCACAAATGTGAAAGCGGGCTTAGAAAATTAAGTAACTTTCCAGGAGTCACAAGAAACTAGGATTTGCACTTCTGGTTATGTGATATGGAGCTTGAGTTCTTAACCACCATGCTGTAGTCTTTGCTTCTCATTACTTGTGACATGATTTGAGGGCTTCTTCTTGTCCAAGATCTCTTCCTTACCGGTCCTTAACAAGATCTGAAATCCTGCCATCTGAATTTCATGCCTGTATTTCTTGTTAAAATGTAGACATCCTTGGAGGGGCTTTACATTGTCATGATCATTAACTAAACACCTTGCCCTTTCCTCTGACAGTTACTTAAAGGTCAGACCCTTAGGTACTGGGTAGCTGGGGATGCCTTTCTGGAGCTGGGGTGCTGCTTGGAAGAGATGCATTGCTACCTCCCATGCAGGGTTAGGATTGTTGGGAAACCAAAATGAGATGTGTGTAAAGGTCCTAGCTCAGGTTTGGGTTCATAGGAATTCACGAAATATGCTCTCTGTTATTAGGGGATGACTCCGGAGGGGTGAAGGATGAAATAACCTCCCATTGTGCTATTTGGGGGTTCCTCCTTGCTATCCCAGAGCTCTGGAACCCTCTGGTTACAGTTTCTTGAGGCCCTACTGCTTTTATGCAAGAAAGGTTTAAAAATGGGACAGGAAGAATGGGAGGCCGGGAAGGAGCAAAATGAATAATACTTTGTATTTATCTTGCATCTCTGTCTCCTGAGCTCAAAGTGCTCCATAGACACCATCTCATTAATCCTCCATGCTCTCCAGGGGGTGGAAGGAAACAGGTTTTAGGAATTGGTTTTCAGCTTTGGCTTCTTCCCCCCTCAGCCCAGCTGGACTTCCAGCTTCCCACTTGCAGCCGTTTCACCGTGGATTGTAATGTCCCAGAAGGTCATTCATGCCTTATAGACACCCTGGAGAATTGCCAGGCCCTTGTTGTGCCCTGCTGGGCTGCATAGGAATCAGTCAGGCCTCAGCTGGCAGCTTTTGTATGTCTGGGGTGGCCATTTGAAGACCTATTCTCCCATTCATATATGTATTTTTTCTTTTAAATACATCTTTTTTATTTGTAAGAGCAAGTAGGTGAGAGTTTCAGACATCACACAGTTTAGTAACATGGCAAGTAAAAAAAAGCAAAAGGCTCTTACTGTCTCCTTCTGCCAACCCCTCTCCCCAGGTTGTTCCCTTAACCCCCTTGAGATAGTAATGAACTGGGGCGCCTGGGTGGCTCAGTTGGTTGAGAGTCTGCCTTCGGCTCAGGTCATGATCCCAGGGTCCTGGGATCAAGCCCCATGTCGGGTTCCCTGCTCAGCCGGGAGCCTGTTTCTCCCTCTCCTCCCTGCTCGTGCTCTGTCTCTCTCTCTGTCATAAATAAATTAAATTAAAAAAGAGATAGTAACGAACATTGTGGAGTTTTTCCTTACTCATATACAAAAGTTTTTCCTTACTCCTATACACATAACACATGCTGTGTGTTCATTTAACCGTATCATCTCACTTATACTGGTTCTGAGGCTAACCTTGTGAAGGGTCCAAACAAGGCTGGGGAGGGGAGGAGGACAGAGGATAAGGGTATACCACCCAGGCCATGTTCTTTGTTTGCCTGGTGCCTAGCTATGGTGGGTCATGCCCTGTGTTTTCCTCTCTCTGAAGGAGTTTGCGCTCACCAGCCCAGAGAAGAGCAGGACCAAAGAAGTGGAGAGAAAGGAAACCACAGCAGAAGAGGAGCTGGACTCCGAGGTCCTGGAGGTGTTTCACCCGACCCATGAGTGGCAGGCCCTTCGGCCAGGTACCCAGCCCAGCCCTCTCCCCGTGAAACATACTCTGAATTCTAAGTGCGTATGTCCTTCGTCCCCACAGGGCTGCTTTGAAAGAGCAGTCACTCTGTGGCTCACTGGAGGGGAACAGTGCGGTCCTTCCGAGTGATGACTGCTGCTGCAGGGCTTAGGGACCTTCATTTTCCAGCAGAACAGAGATTGCAGCATGTGAGTGCCCTGAAAGGGAGGCAGATGGTGGGTGGCCGAGCTTTCTGAGCAAGTGATTGAAAACTTTCTTTCCTTGCGCTTCTGAAACACAGAAGAGGCAGTGACATGTGCCTCACTCTGCAAATGCTATTTTAGGCTCTGCTGCTCGGCTCAGTGCTGCTGAAATGTTGTTCACGGGAGAGTACTGAGCACCGGTTCGGGGCAGGAGTGTTCTGTTGCTAAAGGAACCTGTGCCAAGAAACAGGGGCTGGTCCTGGCCTGGTTTCTAAATGGGGCATCCTCAGAAAGAGCAACTTTCGAGCCCTTTCATGAACCGGGGCCCATGGCTTAGAAAGTAACCCGCATTTGTGGAGAGTTTACCATATTCAGGTACGGTGTTAGGTGCTTCATGTGCATAATCTTGTTCAGTCTTCACAACTGTAGGAACTGTGATTGTCTTCATTTTCCTATGAAAACACTGAGGCTCATTGACTTGTGTCATTCAGCTGATGTATCCTAGGTCACTGACCACAGAGCCTAGACCCACCTTCCTCCCCTTTGTCCTTCTAGTCCCAGCCTTGTTGACTATAGCCCCACTATGGGGACACTTGGGTCTGTTCTCAAGAGTGGGCTGTTTGCAGTCTGCCCTGTGGCAGCTGCCACCGTGGTTTCATCAGCTCCGAGCCAGTATTCATCACTGTGTCCTCACTGCCCCCGTTGCTGCTGAGCTGGCAAGGGGCAGCCTTCGCCATGCCAGCCAACTTTCTGGTAGCACTAGCACTCCTGCTGGGCTTACATACAGGTCATTGGTGCCACTGGAGAGTGATGAAGCACCAAGCAAGTGAAGTAGGAGCCCAAGGCATGGGGCAGAGGGAGGTTTTAAGAACAGAGGTATGGGGGTGCCTGGGTGGCTCAGTCGTTAAGCATCTGCCTTCGGCTCAGGTCACGATCCCAGGGTCCTGGGTTCGAGCCCCGCATCGGGCTTCCTGCTCCGCGGGAAGCCTGCTTCTCCCTCTCCCACTCCCCCTGCTGGTGTTCCCTCTCTCGCTGTGTCTCTCTCTGTCAAATAAATAAAATCTTTAAAAAAAAAAAGAGCAGTGGTATGGGGTTCAGCAGATCTGACCTTTGGCTGTCCTCCCGCAGCTTCTCTGAGAACTGAGCTCCCTGAGCCTTGAGGACCGAAACAAGAGGCCTCACCAGAACGGGGCATGGAATATGTGGGCTGTTTCCACTGGTTTGATGGGGTTAATAGTGCTTATACCACTTGTAACCAGGCAGGTGCTTAGAGCAGATGAAGTCAATATCCTGTGACCCCTAATCCTAGCATCTCTGTTCCTGTGGCACCCTTTAAGGCCCTGGTCCGCATTGTAGAACAAGCCTGGAAGTTCTGACCTGGCAGTTGGGCTGCTGTGTTAATTTTAAACAAAAGAGCCCCTCTCTCTAACCTTGGGGAGGGAGAGCCCGAGCATTTGTGAGAAGGGCAAGCTGAAGGCTCTGAGTGCCCTCTGGAGAATTAGAGTGGAACACTGATTTTCACATTTAACTTGATGACCCATTGACATCACCCTCTGCCTTCTAGTTTCTCAAGAGCCTCTTGTAAAATCTGCACCAAATTACCTTGAAACTGCCCCAGAAGTGGTGTGTTGTGGTTGAGCACAGACACTCAGGCCCCACAGCTCAGGGGGCAAAGCAGTTCTGGTTCTAGTCATGCCTGCCCCATCCCAAGAGTGTTTTTGCCTATACTCACCCTCAAAGTGGGATGGGTGGGGGGAGGTTAGGTGAGAAGCTTATTCTGGCCTGAGTGTGTGACGTGGGGTGATTCAGAGTGTCCTGCTGTGGAGTCAGACCAGGGGCGGCAGAGCAGACTTTGTTGGGCCCGGTACAGGACTGAGGTCCTCTGTTTGTTATATTAAGAAGATTTTGTAGGTGCATCTGTTGGCAGCAAACTGACCTCTCGGTGGTCTGTGTGGATAGCCGGCACTTGCCTTCAATCAGAGTATAATATTTAATCCCCCACATTCTGAGTGTTGCCTGGGAGCTTCCAACACAGCTACTTGAAGGAGTGTTAAAAGGAACATAACCAGTTGTAGGAACTTGTTTGATGGGTACATGATTGGGGAGGTAATATAATTTAGCAGCTAAGAGGACAGACTTCTAATTTATTTATATTTATTTATTTTATTTATATTCAATTAATTAACATATAGTGTATTAGTAGTTTCAGATGTAGAGTTCAGTGCTCTTACATCATGTGCCCTCCTTAATGCCCATCACCCAGTTACCCCATCTCCTCACCCCCTTCCCCTCCAGCAACTCTCAGTTTATTTCCTATGATTAAGAGTCTCTCATGGTTTGTCTCCCTCTGATTTCATCTTGTTTTCTTTTTCCCTCCCTTCCTCTGTTTTCCTCTGTTTTGTTTCTCAGATTCCACATATGAGTGAATCATATGATAATTGTCTTTCTCTGATTGACTTATTTCGCTTAGCATAATACCAAGAGGACAGACTTTAGACTCAGCCAGTCCTGGGTTCAAATCCTAGCTTTGCTATCTAGGGGATCTTGGGCGAGTCACTGAATCCTTCTCCTCTTCAGTTTCCCCATTGGTAATATGGGGGAAATGTCCTGTCCTCTCTGTGTGAGGGTTTTTGACATCAAGATACTAGTCAGTATGCTCAGTTCTGATTTTAAATGGTAAATTCTCCATTTGTGCTACTCCTTAAATTTGATTGTGGAATTGGATGCCAGTAAGTGTGCATGAGTGTGTAGGCTTCCTATCCTCTCTGGTCTTCAATGGTGAAGGGGGCTTACGGTGAATGGGAGAAACTTCTGTGGTCCTCAAGTGCCCTCCCTCTTTCCCTCTGCAGAGATTTTTGATGAGGGAGCAGAAAGGGTTAGCACAGCTTTTTCTGCCTGGAAGTCAGGGACCTCGCATAAGAAAGATGATGGAGTATCTTTTGGGGACTTTTAAGAAAATGGCTAGTTTTTGTTGACAGCTATTATCCCCAGTTTGGTAACTTTTGTCCCCTCAGGTCTCTGAAGGGAGGACCTCAGCTCTCTTGTCCTCAGGCCTCCAAGGAGGGCATCCTGGGCTACATGGTCTGGGCTCATAGGAAGGTAGCTTTCCAGGCTGCCTGCTGTGACCTGGAACACCAGGGGACCTATGCATGGCTTTATGGGCCTTCCCACCAGGCCAGGTGGGTATTGGGCCCCAGCCTTTCAGCCCTGGAGCAGCTGCAGGTCACTCTGCTGAAGTCTGACCGCCTCTGTTATTACTGTCAGCATCCTCACTGTGAGCCGCTTGTTCCTGGAAGTGATTTCCTGTCTCTCTCTGTCTTCTGGTTTATTTTGGGATCTGTCTCACCTTACGGAGGCACAGCAACCATTTGAGTGTGGATTCAGCATCAGCTGTTCACAAGCAAGCAGAAGAAAGCTGTTTGCTAGCAGGTCCTATGGGTTCTGGGCAAGCAATTCAGAAATTTGTCCTGGGGTGGAGGACCCCTGAGACCCAGGACGTTGTGCCTGTGTACTTGTTACTACAGGAAGCCAGTCACAGCCAAATGTGGTGGAGTCTGTGCTGCCTGGGCATTTCTGAGATGCTGCTTGTGCCAGGCACTGTACTCGTAGCCAGAGATACAAGTAATATGTCACAGTTACTGAGTGTTGATTGTGTCAGTGCTATAACTACCCTCATTTTTATAGACAAAACTGAGTCTTAGAAGTGACTTAGTCAAATGACCAATAAGTGGTAGAGTCAGAATTCAAAACAAGCTTCGGCCCCCGGGCTGAGCTCCTCACCACCGTACCACGCTCTCTTTTTGAGTAGCAAATGAGACATGCCTCCTACCTTCCAGTAGCTTATAGTCTCACAGAGGATACAGAGACAGAAAAAGGCGCTAGAGCGTTTTGGATGTTCTGGTGGAAGTGTCCTGTGCTCACTGAGGGCACAAAGGAGGCTGTGGGGAGGCTAGGGCCTTCTCTCCATAGTGTTGAGATCTCTGTGGAACAGTGAGTCAAATTTTATGGTGCTGAACTTCCAACCCCATGAAAGTTCTCTTTTTGAGCTGTATGTTCTTGGCCAGGTTGATAAGAATCTTTGAACCTTCGTTTCCTCATCTGAAAATATCTGCTTCCCAGAGATGATGTGAGACTAAAACAAGATTAACATATGTAAAATGTTTCACACAGGACTTGGCATCTAGGAAATAGTTAGTGGCTATAGTTGTCATTTAAAAAAAAATACACCTCTCTTGCCTTCCTTGGGGACCTGAAGGAGAAGTGGAGGTTGACAAAGCAGCCTGAGCAAAGAGCCCTGTTGTCCTGCCCATCAGCCAGTGCTGCTTGTTGGCCCCATGTGGGCTCAGGGAAGCGCAAACCTGGGGCTCCCTACTGACCTGAGCTGACTTCTAAGAGGAGGCTGTCAGAACCTCAGAAATATTGGCATCAGCACAAAGAGCCCACTTAATGGGAGCACGCAGGAAGCCTGTGCAGGAACACATTCGTGTGAGGGGGTTAAAAAAAAAAAAAAATCCAAATCATCAACAACTGATGAGAGCAATCCAAGAATTATAGAGCACCAGCCATCTGGTCAGATCATTTCAGATCTGCACGAGCAATAGGAGGGAATTGAATTTTAAAAACCTCATTTATAGTAGGCCAACTACTCTGTTTCAAGTATTTAAGAGAGGAGTCTGATTTCCTGCAGGCCCTGGACATCTGTCTGAAGGAGCGCCTGACTCTGGTCTGGGTGACTCTGTGGGATTGTCTCTGGGAGGCCTTTGGCCCCTTGCAGCTTGGAAGGGGCTATATGATTCTTTAGTCCTCAGAT